ATTGGATAAAGTCCTATCCAATTTTCTAACTATATGTAAAGGCAGAAGGCTCAAGGAAAACACCGTAGGAAAATCCCTGCTTTTTACAGCCTATTTAGAAAATACTGGCAAAAAAACCCCAACCTATTTCAACAAAGACTCATTTTGCAAGCACCCAGTGTAAGCATGGGAGATTCCATGTAGATTCTCTGCCTGGAATCCGAGGTGGTGTGAATGAAGTCATTTCTGCTGCAGAAGCTGACACTAGCACGGCACCAAGTTAGCATGCTTTGTCTTTCAGCGAGCTGTTGTCTGGCTTCAGAGCAAAACTGCTTTCAAAACCAAAATAAACCTCAACCGGTGCCATCCCTTACTCCTCAAAAGATGAGATTGGAAGCATCAAGCTCATCTGACAGTTGCTCACCACCAGTTGCTTCTTCATCTCACCTCAGAACCCCATCTGCACGGCAATTACAAGCTGCTCTTTGCCTGGCTACGTCCTCCCTGACCCCAGCGCTCCCGCGAGCTCCGTGTGGCTCAGGACAAACACCACTCTGCTGAAGCTCACACTCCAGCCCTGCTGTCCCTCCCAGAGGACCACACGAGGAGGGTTTGCTGAGAGCCGGTGCCGCGGGACGGGGCCAGGCTGCACAGGAGAGGGGGGCTCAGCTCAGCACAGCCCCACCGTGGCCCGGTGCTCTCCGACCCACCACGGGAGCAGAGCTGGTGTTGCCTTCAGTCAAAACCTCTGCTTGAGAACAAACGCAAAACTGCAGATGTGTTCATCAAATATGTCACAGTTCTTAACAGGGCAGGGGAACGCGACAGACAGGACCAGAGGCCAATACCAAACAATAGCAAAAAACACACTGATCCCAAGTCTTGGATTCAGTGAACCAAAATTCCATCACACGACAGCGTTTGGCAAAAGGAAATTACAGGGAATAAAACCAGGGACACTAGTAAATTAGCCTGTTGGTTTCCTCCTCTGACAGTACCTGCACTACCTGTAACGCCAGACATCTGTGAAGAAAGTGCAAGAAGCCTTCTCCATGAATGCCCCTGCTAAATCTAGCTGAGCAGGCAGGTGGGCAGCAGAGCAACGAGCAGAACGGAACTGCAGAGAAGGCTCTGGTATGCAAATTGTTCCCATTTTTAGGTGCCTTTTTGAAAATGCTCAAAAAGACTGGTAAATTCATTTAAATGAAGGGTCTTGGAAAGCTTCTCCTTACACGGTTCTCTTAGAGTGCACCTTTTGTGTGCTTTCTCAGTGTAACAGTAGCTTTGAAAATAGTTAAAACTGAGGAGACCTCAAATGTCCAGAACATCCCATTGTCTTCTTTATTTGTTGTTCAAACTAAATTGCCCATGTTCAAGCTGCACTGGAAAACCTCTGCAGTTCTGTCTAGTGGCAGCTGAGTTGCTTCCCGCAGAGCTGGTAGATGATTCAGGGGTACTAAGATTACAGCCAGGGGAAGGAGGACAAATCCTTTAATTGTATAAAATCATCAGATTAAGACTAACCCTCTCTGTGGTTCGCTCTGTTAGCGGAGAACTCTGCTGCCCAGAAACTAAATGTTTACAAAGTGCTGAAAAAAAACCCAAACCAAACCCAACCCCAAACCCCAGCAAAAGCACAGGGCAGAGCCAGACACACCTTTCCCTTCTCTGCCCACGCACCGCAGGGAGCCACAGGAACTCTCTCTACTCCCAAGAGAACTAAATTGTCACCTATTCTCTTCTAAGCAATTGTCACAGAATTACACCCATGCTGCGTTAAACGTTTGGGAAGAGATTTGCAGAGGAAGTTCCCTGAATACTGAGGCAGGGCCTCAATTTCTCTACAGGACACACATTCTTGGTGTCTTCCCCTCAGCACCATCTCAGCGAAACTTCACACATTCCAAATCATCTGCTTAATGGCTTCAAACCCTTCTAACAATCTCCTGCACTGAAAAAACACCTCACCTAGTGGTTAGAAACCCAAATTTTTCTTTAGAATTATTTTCTCTGAGCCTTTATCACTTAATTGGACTACAGAACCTGTATTAGTTGATGTTACAGCCCAATCCCACCATCCTCCCTTGGCAACTCATGCAAGCAGGCAGCTGATGCAGGTGGAAGCCAGTGCTTTGGCTGAACCACAGGAGTAACCATATTACGTGTGGAGTCCTGCTTCAACCAAGGACTGAAATTCCTATGTGGACATATTTAGGTTAGATTCTCACCAACCTGAGGGCAGGGAGGCTCCAGGATCTCGCCCAATGAGATGAATTCTGTCTGTTCACAGGTAGATTCTCAAGACTGGATCTTTTTCAAAGATGTGACCTTTCTCCATGAGATAGGGTCTGCTCAACTGTTAGTCAATGTGAATAAAGGAGGATGACTAGAGCTGTTAGCATGTAAATGTCTGTATTTCCTCCTCCTTCAGATTACAAGCCTTAACAAATGGATGGGGCAGCAAAGAGAATCCCACACAACTATTCCTAAGTTTTTCTGTTGGAAACTCTACATTCAAATCTAGGTGAAGATAAAACCACACACTGCAGCACGCTGCAAGAGACACCTGGTAACTACGGGAGGTGCCATCCTCTGCTGTGCTAGAAAATGTTTCCCTGGCTGCTGCAAACAGCTGAAGCAGGTCACACCTTTGTCAGATTTCAGGGAATTGCAAACGATGAGACAGTTGTGTCCTTTCACCTCAGGTATGCATCAGGAGAAGAGCCACAGTAACTCCTGCCTGTGCCTTTGTCACTTAGGGCCTGTGCTGTTTGTTTAGCTGCCACGGGCTGGTGTGGTGCAAGAGGAGCAGGCGTGGGGAGGGGAACAGCCCGTGTGTGCTTCAGACCTCTGTCCTCCTCACACACATTTCAGGGGTTACTCACGGGCTGGCTCTCGTGTGGGCCCCTCGCCAGCCACTGAAGGCTGGACCTCCTCTTCTGGTTTAGTTTCACCCATCCAGTGAATACAGGAATTCAGTTTATGCACCAAGACCACTGCAGGATACAAGTCAAAGCATGGCAAATGGGGACAACAGGGAGATGTGCTTCACAAGTGCTCTGCTGATCCAAACTGAACTGCTGGTACAGATGTACCTGGGGAAGCCCAGGACACTGCCTAATTACAGCCACGTTGTAAGATATGTTAGACAAATGAACTTCCTTCTGATGTCTGCTTCCTATGAGCCCTGCTTCAAACCAGTGCTTACACAGCTTGGAGCCTGGAGGCTGCTGCTACCAACCTGTGCTGCAAACAGTACCCAGGAGGAAAAAGAAAAGTAATTGAACCTCAACACGGTGTGAAACATCTTGGTTATTTCTGCTCCTCTCTGCCAGCCCAGCAGCAGAAGACCCCCAGCACCTTCCCTCTCACTAGAAAATCATCTTCAGGGATGAGTCTTTCCAATTAAGCAGGTTTACACCAGTGACTTTGTGCAAAGACACCCTGCAGCACTACAGAATCTGGCCCACCATGTTTGTTTTAATGCTTTAAACAGATAAATTAAAGTTAAATGTGTCTTTTAGGATGTCACTGAATAGGCAAGCTGAGAAATAAATTGAGCTTCACATATGCTTTTATAACACATAACAACTGTGACTGTCAACACAAGATCCTTTTCACTGTCAATTCACCACGCATTCTGTGAGACCTTGGGGCCTGCAATTATTTCATTTCCTTTCTTGGAAATGCAATTTCCACTTAGTTTGCTGTAATAAAGGTAGACAAAAGGTGGTAAGAGTTGCTGTATTTTCTGATTAAGGTTATCTGTTCATAACTGTAGAAATTCACAAACTACAAACTATTTTTCAGGAACAACCTCAACTTCCTGTTAGGCTAGAAGTTCAAGAAAATGTAATGGCATTGTTCATGTCAAATTAACTGTTGAAGACATTTTCATCTTTCTGATTAAATTAAAATGAAGATCATCTTTCTTCTAAGGATACTTAAATGAAATAAAAGGGAGGAATACATATGATTGGGAAAGGCATTCTGCTTTTAAAACTAAGAGCAAATTAAACAAAACCATAGAGTGCAAAAAGGAAATTGGGCTCTTTACCCGTTCAAAAATAAATGACAGAAGTACCTGCAGGAGAGTGAAGTATCAGTTCATAAAAACAAATGAGAAATTAATTTCTAGCTCATTTGTCATGACTTGCTCCTTTGAACCAAGCAACAGAGACTTGCTAGAACGGCACTGGTGGTATTTTTTCAACTGACAGAGCAGGAAAGCAGAGGTTTAATTAGCCATGATTACAATATTCTGCCCATCTGATTTGTCTCATCTCTTTCCTTTTCTTGAAGTGACAAACAACCTGGCAAGGGAACTGAAGCAAGTGCACAGCCTAATTTCAAAGGGAGCTTGATATTGTTGTAAAATAAACCAATCCTCCAGGAGATCTCTCTGAAATAAATATATCTGACGCAGCTTTAACTCTTTGATGCTTAACTGGCACCTTGAGTCTTCAATCTGTTGTGACAAAAGATTCTTCTTCCCCTCTGTGCAAACCTTAATCTTGAGATTTGGAGGTCATTCAGAATTTTTAGGAACAAACATTTAAAGTAATATGCAGGACTTCTTTTGGCCCAACAGCAACTGCAGTGCACACCTACATACACACCAATATAACTTACATGATTCTATTTTTATAAATATTGTGCCAGAACTGCTTTTTTTTTTTTTTTTAAATCAAGAGTTAACTATACAATGATGATTCCTCTTCAGATTATGGAAAAAACCTTCAACCTTGCTATTCCTCAAAAACTCCAGAGTTCTCTTCTTTTGGCAGAGAAGAACTTTTTTTTAAAGAATGTTCACAGATATTGCAGGAGAACATCTATTACTGAGAATTAGATTTCTACCTTCATGTGAGACTGCAAATTATTTAAGGAGTCAGTAGTAAACACAGCTGCAGACTGTACATTTATCCTGTTAACCCAAATTGATATTAAATCACTTTCAAAATGCACCAGCTGAACAGATCTGGCACTAAAAAACAACTAGATCTCCATATTCTACTTACTGTAATGTAGGCTTGGAGCCTGTGACACCCTTAAGCTGGTCAGAGACAGGACCTGAGTCCGGTACTTTGGAACTGAATTCTGTCTCCAGGTCTTTCTTGTTCAGCACTGTTTGTGCTGCACTGGCTCCCGAGCCCAGCACAGGCAGAGATTTTGATTCTGAAGTGGCCAAGATTCCAGTGGGACCTAAAACCCAAGAAAGTTCAATGCTTCTGTTATTCGAGTTGGCTGCTCTAGAAGGAAGGTGTAAGCACAGCAGATTTCAAGTGAACTGCAGTAATCAAAATGGAATTTTGAAGAACAGTGTCCAGCGCATGGGGGGTATCAAAATACCATTTGCAGCTTCTGCTCTCCCCAACGAGGACTAACCCTTTCTTGCACTGCAGGCAGGGCCTGCTGCAGTGCCACACGCCTGCCTCCTGGGATGGCAAGTTCTGCTGCCCACGCAGCAGGACCAACTCACAACCTGCAGTGCTCTCCCAGCCTGAGGTGCAGCTGGAGCACGAGCCAGACAAACTACTAAAAAGCCTGTTCTCATACAGCAATGAGTAGTTAGTGAACTGTTCATCTGCAAAGCCCACGCTAAAACCATACAGTGACATTAAAACCAGCCATGTCTACATTGACTATGGCATGGAGTTGCACTTGCACAGACTCTGTGACCAGGCAGATCATCAATAGATTCTGACAGGTGATGACTGCAAAGCATAGCTTAAAAACCACAGACCTTTGCTCTGCAGAAGAGGTTAATTCAGAACACTTGTCCTAAACCCTCATTTCCCTGGTTACCATTACTTTCAAGGGTATTTTCACAGTAAGCTCAGACTATGAACTCCAATGACAATGTCTGAGCTCCAGGCAGGACAGAGGAACCTGTGCGTATAAGGCTGTGTGCATGGAAAATCCTGACAGAGCCTCTCGTGGAGCCAACGTGGATGAAAAGCGACAAGTGCAATGGGGAAGTGAGTCACTGCAGGAGTAAGCCAGGTTCTCTGTAATGGCTGAATGGCAATGGTCTGGAAGAGAAAGCAGAGCTCCAAGAGTCACTTAACACAGGGAGAAGAGGAGGACTACAAAAATGCCCAGCCACTTACTGCCACTGTCCTGGTCGGTGGTTACTTTCCGGCGCCGCAGAACCCGTTCCAGCTCCGTTTCACTGCTCTCTGTTTCAAGGGACTTCAAGCTTCGGGAACTACTGGATTTATTCAGTGTCTCCTACAGCAAGAAACAGGTATGAAAAGTTCTCTGAGCATATGTTATGCCTTGCCAAACATCCCACGTGCACAACATGAAAACCCCTCCAACTGCCAAAAAGGTCTGAGAACCAGCTGTGGCTCTAGAGCAGCGTGTGGAGCTCTGCCAGCAGTGAGCAGCTGGGCACTGGCTCACCACTCCTCCACTTGCTCAGGTTCCTGAGGCAGAGATTGACCACACTCACCTACACACCAGAGGGCTGATATCAGGCCTAAAGATGATGTCCTGGATCACTAGTGAACAAATTCTGATGTTTGCAGGGAACTGTCAACTTTCTCCACCTTAGCATTTAAAGGTCCTAAAAACTGCTGGAGCATTATCATACCCATAATTAACCTCTACTGGTACAAAGCCAAAGATTCATATTTTACTGCTTCATCATATTTTATATTTTAGCATGGTCCTGTGTTGCTGCATCCTGGTGTGTACACACCTGCAGAAGTCAGTATGTACTAGCTGCAACCGCAGCACTTTTGTTACATCCTATAATCTCACTGATCTGCCCTGAACCTGACCCTCTGCCCACGTATTTCATGGTTTCTCTTAAGCACACTCTTAGATCTCAAGTTGAAACAGTTTTTTTACGTATAAAACAGAAATGCCTGCTATGACTGCCTCATGCCAAAGGTTAGTATTTTGTATCAGACAAGCTGCAAGTCCAGTAGCACTTTTCTTAAGGTGGAGGGCAAAAAGGCTTTTATCAAAGCCTGAAACCTCTCAAACTTGCCCTCAGGAATTTTATCATGCACACAGTGGATACTGCCTGGATTTCCCAAGAGACAACAGTCAGATACTGGACCAGCACCCACTTGACTGTAAAATACTTATAATGCAACTGAAAATTTGGGACCCATATGCTATTTCATTCTCCTCCTGAGTCTTTTATCATCTTTAGGAATGCCCCAGAATCCTGTTTATTCAGCCTTCTAAAACATGCCTAAACCATATAGCATTTTTCCAGAACATAAATAACATATTCTTAACATCTTTTGTTGACCAGCACGTACTTCTGAGCAGAAACAGCAAATGACAAAAGGAAATGGCACTGCAAGTTGCAAAAGCTGTGCCACTTTCAAGTTCCCAGCAAAGAACTAATTCTTCACCTCCACTCAAAAATTAAAATAAATATTTTCTTTGGCAACTCTTTGAAATTTAACTGAGCTGGTACATTAATAATTAGTGGTGTGCTCCAGACCTGTACAAACATACACGAACAAAAGCAACTCCAGCAACAGAGTCGCTCAAACTGCAATTTACAGAACATAAATGTGGTTTGTTTGTAACAATTATATGGAGGTCTACATGAAATGCATAATTAGCATAGTAACAACAAATGTTTACTCCATCACATCCCACCCCCATGTTTGTTGTCTGACTGTGCATAATGACTGGTCTCAAGAATAGACTGGAATTTGTTTTTATACAGTTTGTCTTATATTGCAAATATCCTGAAGGGCTCAAAAGCAACAAGCTAGATACAGAAGTAGAGCGACTGTAGGTTTCTCTCTGCTCCCACTAAAGTACATAATCAAGACTCCCCTAATGTCAGTGATAGAGTGTCAAAGAAATAAAACAGCTATTAGGAAACGAAAGGACCTGCAGCAGGATCACTCAGCCCGCCCCCGGCTGGTCCAGCCAGCAGCCGAAACAGACTAGTCCTGTAATTATGCAGTGCCATTTAAAACATAATCTCTGTCTTGCATTTTATTCCTTCTCTACTTACCGCCACATTTAATTATGTGTCACTCTAATTAGAGCTCAGCATTAAGGTCTGGTGGCTCTCTAGATCATTTTTTTGTTCTTCCCCTACTTTCATGTGACTGGAAACCGTAAGTTTAACATGTCCTTGGTGCCACACTCGTGATTTTAAATCACAGCACAGGCTGTGGCTACACTCTTTGCTGTACTGTCTTGCATCACCCAACACAATACTCAAGTTATTTACATAAGGGCTGTTTAGGTGTTACCATGGATAGATGATTACAATGATCAGCCTCACTCACCTTCCATAGAGCAGCTGTGAAGCACTTTGTTTCAATATGGGCAGAATTTCACCTTACAAAGTCAAAATTTCACCTGATGTACCAAAGTTGCACTTCAACTTTAAAAGCTTCAGGGTCACAGAAGTGAGGGAGGAAGAATTACCACTCCTTCTGAGAGTATGATACAGTTTTAGGACTTGTGCAAAAGAAGCAACCAGTTAAGCAATGCAATGTATGAGAGCATAGGAGAGAACAGGAGTAAACTTACCAAATGCACACCAAACAGTTTTATTTAGTGACAAGTATGTGGATAACTATTTAGAGTAATTTTTTTTTTCTAAATACAAACACAGACTAGAGAGCACTTGCTCTATTTAGACTGTCTACACTACAAGAAATTCAGTGTCTCAGGAGAAGACAGGAGTTCAGGGCAGCTGATGAGAAGAACTCTACATCTACTGGACATGTGCAGTCCAGGGGCTTTACTTTGGACTAGACAGACTCAGGGCCTCTCCCATTCTAAGCATCCCCACCGAGAGTACTTGGAAAGCTTCCAAAGGATCCATGGCAGGTGCAGGCCAGAACATCCCCTCTAGTGGCAGGAACACACCAATCTGGAGCACAATTAACAGAACTGTTTTCTGAAAATAAATTCTGTTAGCAACACCAAACCAAACCTTTCAGTTGGACCAAAGTCAAAAGTGGAATCAGGGGATTCACTCCAGAACTGCTCTACAGCTTCAAACCAAACCACTAATGCAGAAGTTTCCAATACTCAGCTGTTTTGCACAGTAGGCTCTGTCAGCTCAATGAAAAGAAAAAACACAAATATAAACTACCAGTTTTCTTACCAGAATGCCTTTTAATTCTTTCATTGCACTTTCAGAGGGCTTTAATGTTTCTGGCTGTAAACAAACACAACACACACATGTTAAAAAACAGGTGAAATGGCCCATGACAGACTTTGTACTTGAAGACAGACATCGCAGGGGGGTCTACAGCACAGGCGTGCAGCTGTGTCGAGCTCCTGCCCTCTCCTCTCACGGGCACATGGCTAACATCCAATCTGCTTTCTTCCACAGATAATGAGAAGAGCCTTTGCTCTCAGCACGGTGAACCACAGCCTATACATAAAGACACATTTATCCTCTGGTGAAGATCATAAGTAGTATTCTGATAGTAACCTCATTCAGGTACTAGTGCTAAGTGTTGCATGAAAGGAAGAAATGCTGCTAAAGACATTCTTCTGGTCCAGCAACCCCTTTACCCAATTCAGGACCCTTGGTACTTTTTGTTTCTCAGTGGCTGTTTGTTTACAAGATGTTTGCTTTCAGTTCCTTTCTGTGTCAAAGAAACTGGGTATCTTATTTATGTACTCTTGGTTTCCCTCTTTTTCTGTTCTTCAGATACATGCTGCTCTAATTCATCTTACTCAAAATGAAGTAAAGCAAATGAAGTGAGACAAATGTATTCTTCTGAATGCTTTACAGGAAGCCCGATTCATTTTCAGTGTAAATTACTGTACCTAGCTAATATTATTGCACTGATATTTATTCCAAACCTTTGCTTTAGGCCTGCTTGACTGGTTGACTGGTCTCAGATGAACTCCCTTTTTAATTCTGTCCATCATTTCTTCAACAGCTTGTCTCTTCAGATCTGTAACTTCACCTGTTCCAAAAACAAACAAAAAAAGCCTATCACATTCCAAATAGGAACTACTATTAAAAATGTAGATGATAAACATAAAGGCTTATTTTTCTTCCCTTAATTGGGCTGTTCACAGGGTCTTTGTTACAGGATCACTATTTTACTCTTAATTTTCCCCACCACAAAGAGGCACTTTGCTGCATGCTGCCCACATCTATATGATAGCAGAAACCTGCAGCCTCATCTCAGCTTCTCAGGAATTCTAGTTTCTGGATAAAATCCCAAAGTACACACCTTGAGGATCCAGCCATGGCCTCTGCAAACACCAAAGCCTGCAGAATTTTTCACAGAAGCAGGGCTAAGACAATGAAAAATGCAAAGCTCCTATAACCATTGGAGGTTTCAAAAGCTCAGTGCTACAGGCTGACGCACCAAGGACTGAAGAATACAGCCCCAGTTCCACTATCTTTTCACTGTGGCTCAGCAGAAATTTCCACTGTTTCACTGACACAGGACAAGTCAATAATGCCCCACAGCAAGGCCTTTATGCAGCCCACCACAAGAGTCCCAAACGTATATCCATATGGGTTTGAGAACCTTGCTGGAATGACACACCAGCATTTCAGGCTGAACTAAAACCACACATTTACAGAACACTGCACCGAGTTGAGGGCAAACCTTAAATACCATGGAAGGAAAACAGTTTCAAGGGATTCAGTATCAGGGCTGCAAAATACTCAGATGAAATCAGAAGTTGTGGGATGAACCTAAACAAGACCTGTAAACTTATCAATGTTCTGGATAATGTAACAAAAGACAGTTAACATGCCATACCAAAAAAAAAAGGGGCCAAAAAAGGGTACTTAAAGCAAATACATGGAAAAATATGGTTGATGCTATTCAAAGCTGCAACATTTTACCATCAATAGCAGGAATTTTAAATAGACTTGCTCTCTCACTTGTCAGGGTACTGTTGATGATTCATAGAAATGCAGTTTCTGTATTGTAAGCCGATTTAATGTCAGGCTTTAATTCCACAAACAGGTTGTTTCAAATATAAAAGCTTAATTGGTGGTATGGGATAGAAACCCCTCATTCTAAGTCCTTAACAAGGGTCAAAACAAGCCTCAAGTTAGATATAATAACTAGATCAAGAAAGAACTTTCTCCCTGGTTTTATTTTTATTTTAAGAACAGCTCAACTATTAAGAGAAGAAGCGTTTTGTATGTGATTGAAGAAAGGTCAGAACTGTTAAAGTTTGCTAATAAATAATGAAAGAATGGGTTGTAGAGAACTTACAGTGAATTTCATAGTATTTCCTGCAATCACTGTAACATCAACAAAAAGGTGTAATCAAAACATCTAGGACACTGCAAGGTAAGGAAACCTGATAAATGAAGGCAACATAACTGAACTTTAATACTGACTCTTCATCAGAGTCAGTATTAAATGATGAAACTGACTCTTCATCAGAGATCTCAGTACAAAGTCACTTCTCTAATTATTTTACTCAGACCAACAACCTTACTTCTCTCAGGCTGGTAACCAGTTCCCAAAGATGTCCTCAGAGACCTGCTCAGGTCACCACATTCCTCAGATCCTCACCTGAAAAATGGAAGGGGTAATACTTCCTTTCCCCAGCTTTCTGTCTGTTGGTCCTATCCAACAACCCAGCCATGCTTACAGTCTCCTAACAGCGTTCTTTCTCTAACAGTTATATCCTGTACCTGTAATTTCAGCCAGGTTCCCTTCTGCAGCCCTTCTTTGTTTAAGTGGCAGCAAATGAGTAAGCAATTTACTACAAACTCGTGCTGTTTCAGAAGGAAGAGAGAAAAACCTTGGCTATGTGACGAGCAATGCTTGTCTAACTCCGACTCTTGAGCCACTCACGATCACTTATGAATCTCTACTTAACTCCTGTTCTCAAGATGCTAAGTTTCCAGGTACCCTTAACAACAAACAAATGTAATTCCAGCTGTTCCTTTACAATCAGAGCCACCTTAGCACAAGATTCTGTTTTGCTCTAGGTTTTCAGTATTAGTAAAGGCTTAGCATTACAGTCAACTCTGAGTGGTAATTTTACAAGATATGAATTGAGGGATGAAAACTGAAGCATTTAACAAACTAGCTCTGCAGAGAGGCTCTGGACAGAGGAAATCACAAACAGGAAGCCTTTTGGAAGTTGGAAATTTTCCTATATTATGGTGTGTATACGCTCCCTGCTTAATGCCTGTTGGGTTTATTCTGCCTTTTCCAGATCACCCGTGGAATTGCAAAGTCCTGGACACACTGCAGCTGCAGCCACATGCTGTAGTGTCTCCAAGTGAGAAGCATAGGCTGTGAGCCTCTCAGCACTGCGACAGTGCAACTACTGCAGGCAGTACCAAACAGCCAGGGTGCAACTCAACAAGCTGCACACAGTCGCTGTAAGAGCACAGGGCCCTAAACTGCATCATCTTGTTCTCACCATTCAGCACATCACCCTACCCAGCTAAGTGCTTATCTTCTCAGTTCCTTCTGTAAGGAACATGGCCATGCCCTCCTCAAGTGAAACAGAAATATCGTCTTTTCTGCCACATCACTGAATGAAGTCAGCTCAGTGACACATCTGATAAGCACCAGAGACAGAAGCAGGACAATTAGAACTTTTCTTCAGTTACAGCAAGTGCTAGGTCTTCCCTCAAGGTTTTTGAGCTGCTGGTTCAAACACTGTCCATACTAAAATCCATTTGGAAAAAGTCAATTGGATGATCACCAGCTCAATTGCGGAGGCACAGATGGCTATGAGGGCTACACAAATTTGCTTGAGGTCTTGAGGAAGCTTGGAGTAAAACAGAACAGCCTATTTCATTTGGAAAGGACCTACAACAATCATCTAGTCCAACTGCCTGACCACTTCATGGCTGACCAAAAGTTAAAGCATGTTATTAAGGGCACTGGCCTCTTAAACACCGACAGGCTTGGTGTCTCAACCACCTCTCTAGGAAGCCTGTTCCAGTGTTTGACCCCACTCTTGGTAAAGAAACGCTTCCCAGTGTCCAGTCTAAACCTCCCCTGGCACTGCTCTGAACCATTCCCACACATCCTGTCACTGGATACTAGGGAGATCAGCATCTCCCTCTCTACCTCCCCTCCTCAGGAAGCTGTAGAGAACAATGAGGTCATCCCTCAGCCTCCCTTTCTGCAGACTAGACAAACCCAAAGTCCTCAGCCACTCCTTATAGGAGTACCAAAGCTACCACTTCCTATGTCAGAGCACACACACCTGGGCCACCATCACATTTCTGGACTGCCAGGTGGATGGAATATGCTGGGACATGGAAAGCAGGAGTAAATGTTCACACATAAGAGCATTTGCATCACTATCTGTACCCACAGCTCATTTCACAGCTCTGTCTGCAGTACTTGGTGAATAATCTGCATGACCTGAGAGAGGATGAACCATACCTGACTCCTGCTGAGGAGGTTTCTCCTTCTTGCTCACGTTGGTGTTGGAGTGAGATCTTTTGCGAATCATGGACATGAGAGACCTTTGGGGAAAATGCAACTGCAGTTTGTCATTCTGTCCTCTAGTACACACTGTTAGAATGAACTTGAGCATGACACAAACAGCTTGCTTATACCTGATTATACAGCTACTCACAGAAGACTCATTTAACAGTTCTTGAATGCAGATGTCTGTACTCAGTTACCCCCCACAACGTCTCCCATTAAAATGCACCAGAGGAATTTATTTCTTTTTAACAGACATTAGGCATAAATCAAAACACTCCAGATTTGAATATTAAAAGACTGCGTCTCGTGACACATGACAAATTGAAGCTGCTCTAGCATAATAAAAGGAAAGAAGAGCTGTAGATATTGAAGTATTATTCTTCAGAGGACACTTAAATACGGTGATCAGTATCTCCTCACCAACTCCAAGTTTGTAATCTTCTTACAGCATCAAATAATTATCCCTTCACTATAGTCAGAACATTAAAAGTCCAGACAAGGAAGTGATTCAGCTGAAAGCTCAAGTATAAGCTCCTATGCACATCTGATGTGCCAGTGAGGCCTATCACTCCCTACTGAACATTGCTCCTTAGGAAGCAGAGCGACCTGCAGCATCCATGCTTGGGCTCCAAGAAAACCTTGGCACACAGAAACGCCACAGAGCAATAAATCAATGCTCTGACTGAGCTACTACAGGGTGTAAAATGAGTAGTGTTACCTATTTCAGATAGTAAAGGGCACAAACTTAAACAACAAAACACACCACACACACACCAGAGTTAATTCGTTCTGTACTTTCGTGGGGAAAACAGCAAGCAAGCCAAGTGAGTTAACAGATGTAAAAAATAGCAGAAGACCAAATTGTTCAGAACATGTTTCGTTTAGGTTTCTAAAAACAAAGTGTCATTGACATCCATTTATTTTTAAAACCAAGCAGACAACATGAAGATTAGCTAAATTCCTGAAATTAACTAAGCACACTTTAGGGCTCAGTCAGTTAATTTGGGTCTAATGCCTGATACATCATATACTTGAAAAATATGTCTTGAAAAAAGGGCCTCCTTTACAGCCCTTTGCTTAATCTTGCCCAAAATTTCTTGATGATGGGGTGCTGATTTTCTTGTGTTTTGGTTTGTTGGTTTTTTTTTTTTAACTTATGAAAGTAATTGTGGATGCTCAATGGAGTCTGCATTTTCATCACCAGTATCTGACAGGAAGGGACACACAATAATCCAACATATCCTTTGGTTCAAAGGGGTTTTCTTAGCAGTAAATTCAGACAAGAATTTCACAAGTCTATAATTACAGCTATCGGGTGAATAGAAAAAAAAAAAATCTCCTAAATTTAGAGGAGACAGGTATCCCTCCTCCTCCAAAATCAGTCTAGACAATTTGTTAGGCTTGGCAAGACAGACACTGCTCAAAATTGGTCAGGGTGTTGCCACCTGTCTGTTGGCAGGTGGGGCACAGAGCATGTCCTGCTGGTAAAGAGCCCAAGACAGATGGAGAAAGCCTTTTTTCCTTTAAAGACATTCTTCCTGCTTGGGTGCAAGCTCATGTATTCTGTTTCAGCACAGCATTAATGCTGTGACCCGTGATTTAAGCACTTACCGTATAGGGTTAGGAGGAGGGGGAGGAGGAAGAGGAGGAGGAGGTGGTGGTGGAGGAGGTGGTGCAGGATTTTCAGACTGCTGTATTCGTTTCTGAAGTTCATCAACTGCACAAGAGCAATTAAACTAAAGTCAGTTCTTGATTTCTCACATCTGCTCTAAAAGCCAACTCTGATGGTTTAAGCAAAAAAAAAACCTACTGATTGACTAAAACCAAGTAAGACTAAACCACACAACTGCCAGGAAGTCCTATTTCTGGCAACATTTCCTACCAAAAACAACATACGATTCTAGTTACACCAGTTAGCTCCACCTGAGTTACTTTTGAAGCTAAAACGACCCTTTCCCCCAATACAGGATTCCTCATAAAAAATGACAGAGCAGGGAAAAGTTTATCACATTCCTGCAACAGTCTATAAGGCTGCATTTGAGAATGAACTAGCAAGAGATTAAAGAAATGGATCATTTCAGCTTCCAGACTTTTCTCTGTCTTGCTGAGGGTGTGGGTTTTCCCCCTAAAAATGGTCAAAACTGGACAGTGGGCAAAATGGACTCTTTCTCTCCTGTTTTTGAAATGTTGTCAAATGCAGTTAACTGGGGAAGGGAAGAAGCAGAAAAAAAATAAGTCTTAAGTGTCTTTTAGCTAGGAAATTTTTTAGCAATTGTTCTGAATACAGTAGGAATTATGTCAGAAGTACAGAATAAGACTTCCAAAGTGGACACAGTTCTTTGTTCTCCTAGTGATGGATTCAAATTAAAACTACAGCCTTTTACATTTACTTTTCATTTTAAAAGGGGAAAATAAACCAAAACCAAAACAAAAACCCAAATGAGCAACTTTAAACTCCAGCTACAATCTTTAAAATGATAAATTCCTTCTGAAGGACAAACAAGCCTGAAAGGAAAGAATCTGCTGTGAAGGTCAGATCTTTTCAAGGCAGCAAAGAAGAACTCATATGCTGCCTAAGCATATTTTTAAGGCTGAGTAATGTAAAACTCTAACACAAAGCAGTTCTTCCAAGCAAGACTGCTAACAAGCTTAAAGATAATCCTGCTCTCAAGGAAATGTTTCAGAAAAGCGTGGTTACATGTGGAACCTTAGCTAAGGATAGTGACTTTGGCCTCCTCTGATGGAGGCTCAGAAGCTTCTCTGACCAAGTGTCATACTGAAGACTAGCACCTGCTTAGGCCTCGAGCCTTGACATGGAACAAAAAATATCTCACTACAAGGAAAAGATTTAAATGTATAATTCTCATAGATATGAGGTATAAAAGCCTAACAGATTTGTTTGGCTAACTCCTTTTGTAGGGCTCTGAAAGTAGTACCTTTTAAAAAAAAAAAAAAAAAAAAAGGACATTTAAAAACAAAACAAAAAAGAACAATCCCTCAGAGCCTCTAACATCGTCAGCAGAAACTGTTTTTTTTCACATGTGAAAAAGAAGTGCCAAAGCATGTCTTTAATTTCATCGGTGTCTTCTTTTAGAAGACTATTAAATGGTTGGGTACCTTGATAATTATGGGATATTTTTGTACAATTCATACAATGTAGAATCCACAGTCTGATAAATCACTGTGCATCTTAAAAAAACCCCAACATTTTATTTATTTTTTAAATTAGGCAGGAGGATATACTTTGAATACAAAGGATTGTCTCTTTCACACAGAAACCCACTCACATGTATATCCGCCTGTAAGACTCAGGGCAATCTAACAACAGTGTTTTTATACCCTACCAAAATTTTACAAGGTTGTTTTTTCACACGCATCCTGACCACGACTCTTTTGTGGTTGAAGGCAGTTGCTGTGCTTTGTCTTGTGAAGCACAGGTCTGAATCTTAGCTACACAGAAGTTCTTGATTGTGATATCTCAAATGTAACCTGTATAATTCTATTAGACATCCACCAGCACCACACCCCCCCTACAGTACCTCTAAAATGAAAGTTCTTACATGATTTTACCTGAATGCTTTAGGTCTCTAGCTTTTTCTTCTGAGTTCTGACACTTAAGCTCTAGTTCTTTTTTATCTTCTTCCAAAAGTTCTAGCTGCTGTTTAAGACGACTAATCTCCTTATGCAGTGCTTGATTCTCTAGCTGCTCTTCCAACTCTTTGATCTGCAGTTGGCAAACAACAGCATTCATTACAGTAAAAGGTATTTTCTGTCCTTCCTTTTGACAAATAAGCCATGGGGCACAGATATTCCTGAAAACATGACGTTATGGCATAGCAGTGAACTACAAGCCTCAGAGAAAGAACAATTTTTGAGTGAGAGCTGGTCAGATTTTTCTGAGACGTGTCAGAATTTTCTCTTATGATCCTAACTGGTTTTATCTCTTCTTTAGAATAAATCTTTAGCTCCAAAGTACTTAATCCATAAGACATTCCCTTTTTATTCTTACAGATTTTTTTTTCACATAAATATAATTTAATTTCAGAACATTTCTTTATTTGAAGCACGAGAACACTGACATTCTGTTTTTCTTACTGACTGTTTCCTCTGAGAGGCCAATTATTTAAACTCCCTTACCTCAACTCCAGCAGTGCCAGCGGGTGAATTATGGAATATCAGGTTCAGAGGCAGCATTCAGGTGCAGAGTAGCAATCATTTCCCAGCTCCCTAAATAAGTATGCTTTGCTCTGTCAAGGAGCCAATGATGTAGAGGTTTTCTATGCACTGGCACTTACTCTCCCAAAATACTCATTCAGAAGCATCTGAGATTACATATGGTCTTAGCATTGCTGCACTGATGAAAGCACTGGAACTGTCTACCTACTCCTAGCATTTCTTTAGCAGGTGACCAGACTACTCATGTGACCTGTCTAACTCTCACCTCCTGGTTTTCTCCATGCCAAAATACCCTTTATGTTATTCAGCTTCCAAAATCTTCTCCTGTCATTTCTTCTTCACTTAATGGAACTTGACTTAATGCTTGGAATTGCACTTTATTGGCACCCAGAATAGAATACTTAGCTAAACCAGAGCCTTCATGCTGAAAAACCTTCAGGTTTTGTACTCATGTCTTACCACTGACCGAGGAGAAGGGAGTCACAATCTTGTCTGAAGTTTAGTTTTCAAATTGTGAACTCTTACAGGAGACAAGATCTCAAATAATTCTGAACATAATATATACATGATGCTGCTTAAATTCAGGAGGCTTTCAGAGACCTCTGCACGAGATGAAAAGTAATCCTGTTTTACCTTTTGTTGGTGTTGAAGCCTCTCTTCCTCTAATGTGTGTGTCAGCTTAGCATTGTCATCCAAAGCCTTCAAAAGCTGTTGATCAGGAGAAGAATTCTGCAGAAGCAACTGACTTTGCCTTTTCATCTTGTTTTGTTCAATAAACATCTGCCAAAACAAAAGCCACCCCCAACAAAAACAACAGTTAAGCAGAGTCTAATGCTATGCTGGGGAAAATGGCCACTGGGAAGAAAATTAAGAAATTAACACCATGTTAATATGGGAGGTATAGTGAGGAAGAAGGTGAGAAGGAAGGGGAAGTCTGAAAGTAAAGCTGACAAGAGCTAAGCTCACCCCAAAAGGCACCAGGTGTTTGCTGAGAGAACCACCCACTGCTACACCTCACTTACCCACGTGCTGGCACATTTAGAATTAAAACACATCTCTGAATTTTGTTGCCTGGAAATGGGAACAGTCTGATTCCTATTCTGGGAGCTCTGGACAGATTAAAAGAACTCAAGGTGGAGGAAAAAATGTCCATGAATTCACAGGCTACCTTTTCAAACCTATCTGCAAGCCTTGGTGTAAAGCCCACTATTTGAGGGTTACCCAGATATGTGAATGATGGAGAGTCTTCAGGAAATTAATTTCAGACCATGTTTGTGTAATCAGAGTATACACTTGCCCTGGGAAAAGGCATTTCAGGGCAATTGCAGCCTTTTAGTTCTGATCCTTGTGTTCTTTCCAGTTCCCCAGCTACATTTCTTATGTGGAGAGTGGATACATTAGTGGGGGGAAAAAAAAATCAAATCGTCTAGAGACTTGACACTGATAAAAATATCACACATTTCTCTAGGCTTCACCTAAGAGGTTCAGAGGCTACATGCAGCTTCTGTAAGAGAGATCTGCTCCTTCCAGACTGTTTAGGAACTTGGGAAAAAAAAAATAATTCCTAGAGAATTTATTCTGCATCTTGACATCTCTTTCAGGTAGAGGGTTGCCTTCCAGGCAACAGGGCTTCCACTCTTGACAAACTCATCCGTGCCTGTTCTTAGAGCAGAAATGGGGACTGGGTCACACTGAGGTTTCAGAAGAGTGTGCACAGGTCAGCAAAGCAGGGCACTCATGGCAGGGGAACAGAGACCAGCCTGAGAACACACACACAGCCCCTCAGACTGTAAAAACATGCACAGCAAAAGCAAGAAGATTTTCTAAGAATAAACTATTCAAAATACAAATGTTCCATGAGACTTTTTCAGGTTCCCATACTACATATTCAAAAACCAAAATTACAGACACAACCTATGGTTTCTCCCCATCCGGTGCTACTGCAATGCTATGTGATTTATTTATTTTTAAAATACAACTGGATTTTAAAGAAACATCTGATGGTGGAGTTTCGAGGCAAACATTCCACTCAGTGCTCTGCTCTCTCTCTAGCTGTAGGTACAGACCAGAAGCCTGCTGACCGTGCTGAACTTTTGACTCACAACGCAGCCTGCTTGACCCTGCGTGCCAAGAAGAGTCAGTTGATGCAGCCTAAATACCAATAAACCCTACAATGAACACTTCATTGGGCAAAGCTGTGCCATAAGGGTAGGCAAGGAAGGACTGGAAGTATTTGATGAAGAGGAACTGATGAATACAGGCTCTAGTACAACACTCTGTTAGAAAACAAACAAAAACAAATTTATGACCATCTGGAAGCCTCTGTGGCACGGTGCAAATGTGCACTGGACATCAGCTCCTGGCCCCAAAATTCTGCCATTCAAACCAGTTATGCTTCAAGTAGTATAGGCAAGAGAAATTCAGAATCAAAGCTACCCACCCCAATCAGTAAAGATTTGCCTTTGTATTGCAGCTCATCTATTTAACATTTTATTTTCTCAGAACAAACAGCATCTTTGAAACTTCATACTGTCAAAAGGCCCCTGAATCGCTGCCTGGGAACTCAACACTGTCTCCAAGCCTCCTGCTCTCCTGTAAAGTCAGTCAAAAGTTATTTTACCCTGACAGAAACATCTCTCTAGAAGCCACCTTTAAGAAACATCACTGTTTACCAACTGTGAACTTGCAAAGCAAAGTGAAAACCTGGATTTCATTTTTTTTTTGAGTCTTTTTGAGGTGGTAATTCCAGATTTTTGTTCCCTGCGTTTCTGCTACTAAAACCAACAGCACAGAGTTGTTCCAGCCTGAGGGAGCAGAGAGATGCCAAAACAAGAAGAAATCAAGTAGAACTTGATTTCTTCATCTTGAGCAGATACTTCACCAAATGTAGACAATCCATATTCACTTTGTTTCACACTCTTCTGCAACAAAATGGGAAAAAAAAAATCCTTTTGAAGACCTAGGTAAAAACTTTTTCATTCAAAAGTTTTCACATGAAGTCCTGCATTTTTTATTAGCTTTATAAATTGTTTTTATGATACTGCATTAAGTTCCTGCTTACAATATAGGTGAAAGCATCTTCACCTTCACAAAAAAAATAAAAGTGTTCTTAATGGCACAGACACATGGGAATCAATTTCTCACAGGGAGTCCCATCCATTTCAGAAGTTACTTACACACATCTGCACAACCCTGAATATTAATTAAAGTGACTGCTGAAAGGACAAAACAGCCACTAACAGGATTATTTGGCCTAGGTGGAATTTAACCAATTGATGGATTAGTTCCGACTTTGCCACCTGCTAGACAATTATCTGCAGAGTATCCCAATCAACGCCAGAAACGTTCGGCAGTGCTGGAGGAATCTCCTGAAACCACCACTGCAACTAAAGACAGATGACAAAGGACAACAGTTTGCTTACCTCTGTCCTTTTCATTTACAAAATCTTCAGGTGTTGAGCAAACCAGCTACCTGTACTTCCCTCATGAGTTTCCAAACAGAAGCTCTGAAGTGCAGGAAATCTGGGACTTGGCCACTTTCCACAAAGTTTCCACAAGAGTTGGGGAGGGGGGAAAGGGAAGAGGGTGAAATCCTGAAAATAATGGAAGTTTTTCCCTTGACCTTAATGGGGCCACACCTCATTCTCAGACCCCTGCTCTAGCCATTACCCCACAGAGCTCTTGCTGCAGCTGTTTTTTGTTTACACCACAGCTGAAAAAGGAATTCTTCCTCATTAAAAAAGTTAGAAAGCAACTCTGTTAGTGTCAAGTCCCTGGGAACTGCAATCCTCATTCAAGTAGCATTCAGGGTACAACTGGATGCTTTCCAACTAACTCCTCTCCCAGGAGCAAAATGAGGCCAAAGGAAATGCTTTAATATCCATATGCTGCTACTTTTCCAGCTACACATCGTTGGGGTACTCACTGAGTGGACTATCTTTTTTGTCTTAGCTACAGTCTAAAGAGAGAAGAATGTCTGAATACAGCAGCACTGCTATAATAAAGTAATTGGTTGCATAAAGTTTAAGAAAAATCAGTGACAAATCCTCCCCACTATGAATAGAATAACAAAAGGTATTTAGCAAGGCAGAGTCAAACTTTGGAAGTCTCAACGAGAAAAGACATCAGTCAACTGAGCAGCTGGCCCTGATTTCAATCCTTGGCAGCACTGCTCCATCCCCTCCACATCCCAGTGAGAAGTCAGTACCTCATCCTTACAGAGCAGTAACCCACTCATTTACGTTTGTCACAGTTTACAGGAGCCCACGTCTTCTGCATTACATGTACCCTAAAGTCTTGTGTTCAGACCTGAAGTAATTCCCAGCAGAAGCAGGGTCAAGGTACTTGTACCTACCCAAGAGAAGAGGCTGTTTGAAGGATTTTAAGTGTTGGGGGGGGGGCAGAGTCATCTTGGTTGATGAAGGAGTGATGGGGCACTAAGTGGCTCAAAATTCAATAGGTTTAAAAACAGTTTAAAATATAAATCCAGGTGTGGATTTTAGTTCAATGGCTAATTGGGAAAAAACACATATACTGTAACTTTGTAACTGCTTAACTGTACTGCATTATCAAGGACACTTTGGCTTGTGAGCTTCACTGCATACAAATATTACAGCAGGAAACAATGGTTTGTGGGTTTTCTTTAATAGAAGAGTTGAGAAAACAGATGTATCTTATTAAAACATATTAAAAACCATGCCCATAGTTTGGATATTGACCTAGAAATGATCTCTCTTTGCTCAGGCTCAATGCTGCACATCAAGCAATGATATCAGCCTCGTATGACTTACAAATCCCTTCTGGTTTAGTGGGTTCAGAGGTGTCTGAAGTGCTACTGAGGAAAAAAGCTACAACAAATAAATAGGTTCTAAGCTCAGGACACAATCCTGAAAACTTACTTCAGCACATCCTTTATTTTTCTGATCTGAAAATTTTGTCTGGTGCATATTCTTCCCTGCTTGGGAACTGCTTCTGTGGACAGTAACTGTGATGTCAGAGAGAAAGAGATTACCCAAAGAGCTAATATCAAGGGCATGGAGAGCACAAGACAAGCCTCTAAAAAACAAACGAACAAAGACAACCCCACAAGGTGAAATGTGGAAGACTGGCAATGCATTTCTGACAATGTGCTGTGACCTTCAGAGAATTCCTCCTTCAGAGCAGCTAAAGACTAACCCTGGCTGGATTTTCAACTGCCACAGAAAAACTGAGCAAAACAGGCATGAAATAGGACATATGTGTAGTAAGGGGCAGCCAACAGTCACTCCTCTCTCTACCGATGATTTGTAACATTTATGGTTAATAGTTTTTGTTAAGACCTGAATCAACTTTAGACTAATAAAGATACAATACATTTGCTTTAGCTATTTGGCTAATTGCCAGACAAATTCTAAAGAGACTATTTCTAAAGAGCTACAAGATGCAGCATTAGCAAGTTTTGTAGCTCAAAAGACTAGGTCTAATTTACTCCGAATGGGGAAACTCAAAGTACTGGAAATGAACCTTATTTTTTGTCCACCATTTGCTTCTCACCACAGAGGTGACTGGAGCTTGCATTTTGAGTATGAGAAAACTGAATCCCCATCAGCACTGTGACTTCCTTAAAAATATTGTATTATTTATTTTACCAGCCTGTTCTGTACAGAAGCATATGTCAAACTACAGCACTCATTCTTCACTTACAAGGCATAACTGCTCAAGGCAGGGAAAAGGAATAAAGGGAAAAAAATAATCTCTATTGTTACTTATGTCTTCATTTCCTGCAGTTAATGGTTTTCCTT